TTGTTATGAATGTTTGCTTTGCAATGTTGTTCGTCTCACTGAAAATGTTCTTCTCACTGGAAAAAACTTATTTTACATCTATAATTTCCTTTATAAAAAAAATTGAGTGTTTTTTGAAAAATCCTGCATTTTAGGACTAACACACCCCCATCTTACATAAAAGCTGTTAAAAAAATTTTCTAATTTCAAATAAAAAAAAAAACAATATCTTAAAAATTTTCGTTTATCATTTTATTAACTTATGGTACTGATTTAACAATGAAATTTGAAACAACAATTTATTTTTAGTAATCTTTTATTAATTTTAATTTAAAAAAATTAGAAAAAAAAAAGATAAAATAAATTAATTTTTTTTGGTAAATTATAAAAAACTATATAAAAATATATATATTAAAAAAAGAAAAATTTGATATAAGAACTTTTAAAAATTCATTACAATTTTTAATTTTATTTCTACTGGAAAAATCAAATAATTTTACTGCAAATAATAAAACTCACTCACGCCTGTGATATAAATGTCCAGAATAAACAATATACTTTCTATAGAAGGTCTGCCAATGTAAAATGCAATTATATACAAGGTAAAACGTTCAGTGTTTGTATCCAATGAGTTGTTAATGCGTATGTCACCTAAATTGTGATTTTAAAAAGAATTTGTATATATAAAAACAAACTTTAAACACATTTTCAAAGTTTCACAGGAAGATGTTCAATCGCACATCTTTATATGACCATGCAAGTACAACTTTTAAAATCTTTGTTAAAAGTTGCTCGCAATATATCAGAAATCACAGCAAAAATGTAAATCTACTTAGCATAGTTTAAAGAACTTTTTAAAAATCAAAAGGGTAGGATATTTATTTCTTAAAACAATAAAAAAAATTTTTAATGTATTTTTTGTTTTGAGAAAAATATTTCGTAAAAAAAAATTAAATTTTGCTGAGCTTACAGTAAAATTTATTCAAAATAATATAGATTGTGTGATGAGCTTGGAGAAGCTTCAGAAGTTACTTCAAATAAAGTATTCATGTAAAAAAAAAACATTAGTGGAGTGGAGTCAAGAAGCTACGGCAACTGCTTTGTTGCTTTCTCATTATTGAATGGTTCTAATAAATTCAATTTTGTCAATAAAATCAAATATCTAACTGCAAACTCTAAACATTTAAAGTACATTTAATAATTACTTTTTAAAATACTTTCTTGAGATAATTATCTTAAGCTGAAAATTTATATGTATATAAATATTTATTGCTATACTTCTTTCTCTGCGCAGCTGCATTATTTTTCTAGGTTTGTGTTTCAGAGTTATAGAGATTTTGTAACCAAAATCTCTATAACTCTGAGATTTTGACTGTAGTGACCTTCTTGGCTTTGGGAGGTGAATAATTAATAAAAAATAAATTAAAATAAAAACTAAACTTAATGTAAGAGAAAATACACAGAAGTAAAAAAGTAAGTTTATAAATCAGTTAAAATGAATAACTAAGCAAGTCTATTAAGCAAAACCTTTAAATTAAAAAAAAAAAACAACTTAATTTTGTGACTTAGATTAAGTTAGGTTAATATTTTAACTTAGGTTAAAACTTTTCTTTTTTCAGTTTATGGTTTTCATTTTCATTATTATTCAGTTTAATTTTGCTTTTTAAACATCATAATTAAAATGTGTGAAAATTATTAAACTATTTAGAAGTTCAAGTCAGCAAAACAAAAATTGAGTGATCATATAAAGATGTGCAATCCCACATCTTGCTGTAAAACACTGATTTAATAAAAAAAAATTACCTGTAGTAGAATCAATATCAAAGATATTATTAATGTTTCCAGATTTAATTCTGTATCCGATTACTCCATTCATCCCTGAATCTTTATCAACTGCTGACACTCTATAAACTATGCTCCTAAAACTTATTTTTACCTCTATGTTTATGCTTTTATAAGAATCTACAAAAAAGGAAAGTTGTTGCTTGCATCAAGAACTTTTACAAGAATATTGGCATTTGCTGCAGCATTTGCACCGGCTGAAGTAGCTTGGACAATAAACTTATGAAATTTTGCTTTTTCATAATCGAGAGGCTTTTTGGGTAAAATAACTCCTGTTAAAATGCCAATATCAAACATTTCAGAAACATTTTGGTTGGAGGGTATGCTGTACATTATTGTTAGTTCTAAAAAAAGAAACAAAAAAGAAGAAACATAGATAAAAAGAAACATATGAATACTAATATTTCCAGCAATAAATTAGTAAATATGTATATATATATATATATATATATATATATATATATATATATATATATATATATATATATTTACTAATATATACTTATACATGTTTTATATATATATATATATAAAACATGTATAAGTATATATTAGAGTGTCAGAAAAACAAGTTTTTTTTTTAAATATCTACACATACCACCTAAATGTGTACTATATATAACCAAAATATGATTTACAATTTAATTTTACCTGATATAATATCAAAAAACATTTCCTCAAAATTAGATTCATTACTTTGCGTTCTTGCTGAAATAATCAGAAGATTCTTAATTTTAAGTCCATTCTCCATTACTGTTAAACTATAATCAGAAGAAGGGTTAAAAAAAAAAAAGGATACGGATCAAAAAAATTTTAGATAATATTTTTAACATAACTAACTTTCACAAATTTTTACTAGGGATGTACTGAAGCTTCGGCTTTGGCATGCTGAAGCTTCGGTTCGGCCGAAGCCAGGTCAATTTTTTGCCGAATCTTTGGCTTCGGCAAAAAATTTTAAGTAATTAAAGTTATGAGCTACTGTTGTACAAGTTATAAAAATACGCTAATTGCCAGTATCTTATTAAGTTATAGATTCAGGACTACATAGTTAAAGTTGGAGTCTATACCATATACTTAGTAATATTTACTCCCAAGTGTCTTGTTATGGAGGGGATAATAATAAATAATTAGAAAAATTTTGAAAATAATAATAAAATTAGGAAGGTCCTCATACACTTTGAAGGCTTCCAAGTGTGACTTTAGATGAACTGAATCAGCATTTTTATGCAGAATAAAAACCTTATAATTTAAAACAAATTAAAACTTTTTAAAAATAAAATGGAAAAAAAACCTTAATTTGTATTATGTAACAAATTCATATTAATTATTGTGTGGGATTACCGCAAATAGAACAAAATTTGGTTTCAACATTTGACCTATAAACCTTAGTAATCTCACTTTAAAGAAGATTAAAGATAAGTCGCTACTATTTTAAATTGTGCATGTTTAATTTCTTAAAATTTTATTTAACCATATTAATAAAAAAATATACAAATTTTCATCGTAAATTTACAGAAATTGGTTAGGTGTCACTTATATAGATACAAACTAGTCAATGGAGTGACACATAAAAAACATAACTTCTCAACAAAAAAAAGGAAGAAAAGCAAATGAAATATAAATGAGAAGAAAAAAAGAAAAAAAAAGGTCAGCAAAAACTAGATAAATGAAAGAAAAAGAAAAACAATGAAAATAATTATTCTTGCTCTTTTATTAACATTATTAATACTTCTAAATTGAATTTATATATTAAACATTTAAACCTATTTCTGGTTTCTTCTTATGATATTATGAAGACTTTTAAATTTTATTAAAAATAAATTAAAGGTTGAAGCTTTGATTACTTTGAGCTCTTATATTTTTCATCAAAATTTATTTAAATTAAATAAACAATTTAAATCAAATAAATATCAGCCTGCTCAGTCCCTGTTTATTTATAAATACAAAGTAAGTAATAATATAATTATAAATAAAAAATGTATTATGTATTCTATTTATCATTTTATTTAAAGCTCACTCTACAGAGTTGTTAGATTACTATGGAAGCATAGTAATCTAACAACTCTGCATACCATAGTTAATATTTGATTTCAGATACTGATGCAGATTTATCCATTACAGAGACAGAAGAAGAATGAAAAGTAAAATTTCAGAGTGTAAAAGATTAATAGAAGCTAAAGAAAATGTTATGCAATGTAAAGTTAAAAATAATCAAAAAAAAAAAAAAAATTTAAAAGTGTGTAAAAAAGAAGTTAGAGAGAAATCTATCAATTGTACTTTTTTTTTGCAGCAGGTTCACAACAGTTGTAGTGGAATACAAAATAGTCTTAACTTGTTTGTTTTTTTAGTTTAGAAATTGTTCGTTTAATGAATACAGAGAAGTAAAAAAAAGATATTGAAATAAATAGCAATAAAAAGATAAAGTGTGTTTGTAAGATTTTTGTGCAAAAGATAAATTTACTAGAGTAATGTTCAGAGATTTTTATCCACTTCTATTAACAAAAGGTGCATAAAAATAAAAATAAAATATACAGCACATGAAAAGATGCGTAACAGTAAATTAAGGGGAATAAAATTTGAGGATGTTCAGCTAGAACACAATATTTAGATAGAGCAAACAAGATGATTGAACGGAGGATTAAAAATTAGATGATTAGATAGAGAATTAAAGAGAAAACGATGTTTACATAGAAAAACGGTGAGGCTCTAAAAGATCAAAAAAATAGCAATAATCTTAGAAGAATATTGGGAATAGTTGAAAATATATGTGAGTTACTGATATTGTGCACTATATAACATTAATATGGTTTGCACACAGAAAAAGTAGAACTAGAAATAGTAAAATTTTAAAAAATCTTAAGTTTAAAAAAAAATGCTTGGTGCGGTCAAGTATCAGAAACGACATAATAAGAAACTTTCAAACAGGGGCGCTGAGAGCTTTTGCCCTGCCAAGACAGCAACCCTGGCTGGCGTCCTCATTTTTAAACATTTTTCTTTATTATTAGTCAAGGACCTTAGTTTTGGTACCTTTTTTGTTTTACACTGATCTGAATGCTGATTAAATTTTAAGCATATATAGTGAATTCGGCCGAAGCTTCGGCTTCGGCAAAATTTTAGCTTCGGTACATCCCTAACTTTTACATAAAAATTGTTTTTTGAAGAGATTTAAAATACTTATATTATAAAAATTGACAATACTTACCCAAAACAATTATTTTTGCAATACTGCTGGACACTCTTATTGTATTTTGAATTACTTCACAAGTATATGATCCACTGTCACTAAATTTTAAATTTATCATTTTTAAAACCTGTGAAATCATCCCCTTTAAAGGCTAAAATAAAAATAAACTAGATTTAATAAGTATAATTAAATTCATAATCAAAATCCATTCAATCAAACTGAGCCATCCAATCATGATATCCAATCATAACAAAACCTTAATTTAGGTAAAAAGACAATAATAAAGGTAACAACAACACCTCTCAAAAGTTATAGAAACCTTTTCAGGCTTCTCAAGTACATTTTGCATACTTTACATACAAAGTTACAAAATTCCCATCATGCCCCTCAAAATTGCAACATCTTTTTTTTTTTTTTCTTATTACTCCGATTTTTTATCACTCCAATAGATTTTTTTTGAAAAACCAATAAGTAGGAATAAAAGCTTCCATATTTGCCATATTTCCAAATTTGATTTAAAAGATTACTTAAGAGATCTGGGAGTAGTAAAACATTATAAGTTGTAAATTTAAAAAACTAGTAATTTAATAAACAATACATTTTTTGAGGGGGGAAATTGCCATTCAAAAGCAAATTGAATGGAATAAACATAAAATATTTCATTTTGCTTAACTTTAAAAAATTATTTACCTCAAAGTTTTTCAGCCATTGGTAAGTCAAATTACTTCCAGTAGCAGAAATTTCCAAATTCAAATTCTCACCCTGACTCAGTAGCACATTTATATGAGACAGATTTCCAAGAATATTAGGTCCATTATCAACGCAAGTTGTTGAAAGGGTATCAAATCCTGAAATTATTTTTTATTTATTAAGCAAATTTTGTATATACAAGTGTATATATATATATATATATATATATATATATATATATATATATATATATATATATATATATATATATATATATATATATATATATATATATATACATATATATATATTAGGGTAGGTCGATTTTAGCTTTTTTTTTGAATTTCGAGTTGCGTAATGTTGCAGTTACTGTGTCTAGCTTAGAAATAAGGTTTTGCCAAATATCAGGTGTTCTGGTTTAAAAATGGCTTGCGGATTTACATTTCAAGACTTAATATTGGACTAGCTTTGTTAGATTGTTTATTTCGAACATTGAAATATTTTATTTTAAGTCTCGTTTCGAATTTTTAGAGTAACCAATTAACGATATTTTAAAAAGCGCAATTGTTTTAAGAAGCCAATAAATTTTCGCTAAATCGTTTACACGCTTTTAAATTTCAATTTTGCTAATCGTTAAATGTTGGTTTTAAAATTAAATTTTTTAGTATTTAAGTATTGAAAAGTAAAGTATTTAAAAGGTTCAAATATAAAACTACAATTTAAAGAAATAGTTAAATATCAAAGGTAAATACTTATGATTAATATATTTACAGTAATGTTTTTACCTGATTAATATTACAAAAATTTTTTTTTTTGCACCTTTTAAAATATAAAAGTTTCAGAAAGAACTAATGTTAACTTAATTCATAAATAACTTATACTCTCATGGGCCACGGCGACGGGGGGAAAAGGGGGCTGAGGGGCTATGGCCCCCAGATTTTTTCAAAAGGACCTTTTTTTAAAAACTAGATTTTTTGTAGTAAGTTTTGATATTTTAGGTTTTTTTGGTGTTTTTCCCCCTCCCCCACTAAAAAGTCACGCCGTGGCCCATGGCTCTAAGTGCTATACTTTAATAGAGTTTACATATATTATTAGTATACAAAAATGCCGAAAGTTACGACTACAATTACACGGATGAAAAGTGAAAAAAAGTATTGTGGTGGCCCATGTGAATTATCAATGACAGATCCAAGCACTTTTAGACAGGTTATTCAGTACTATTACTATCTAATTCATGTGAATCCAAATGCAGATATCTTATCAGTGACTCAGCAAATTAGCAATAATATAAAATCAATTTGGGCTTTAGTAAACCCAAGTTTACCTCTTATAACTGACAAATCTATTAATAGGAAAGTAAAAGATCTTCTCGTACTTGTTAAGGGTATTAATCGCAAGCACGGAAAAGCAAGCGCTAAAAGAAATCTTGATGCTAACTTGGACAAACTCTTTGATATTTCTGCGTGTTCCTGTTCATTAGATGTGTAGTGATAGAAAAGTTTCTTGCAATAAAAAAAATTGCATTGAAGAACATATTGTATGCCTTTGCTCTCAAAGTAATAAAGTACCTCTTGAAGACAGAGCTTATCTTCGTGATCAGAGAAAAAAAATTGGTCCAAAAGGTGCATATCAACTTTCTTCCGTTAATAGATTATCTGTCAAAAAGACTCAAAAACTTGATAAAGAACGAAAAAAAATATTTCATAATTTAGTTGATAAAGATGAATCCCCTATACCACATGTAAACTTAGCTGAAGAAGCAAGTGGTTTATCCAATACGGAAGTAAATGTTTTATAACTACATGATATATTCGTAGTAGATGAAATATAAAGCATTTTATTTTTTTAACTTTTTTAGGATGAAGGTGAATGGAAACCAATAAATAATCCTATTGGAAAATACAACTTGGTTAAACTTCCAAGATTTGCAATGGAACTAGTTAGAAACGAGTGCTCGTCAAACGTAGGTGCAGCTCTAGCAAATGCTTTACTACATGACATTAAACATCTCCTGAAAGACGACGTTGATATAAAAGATATTTTGATTGACAAATGCAAATTAGATAGAGCCAAATCAAAAGTAAAAACTGTTACTGAAGATGTGGACTCAGAACAAAAAAAACAGTTAATTTGTCTTGGGGTTGATGGCAAGCTCGATCAGATAACTAAAACAAGTAAAATAATAAACTCACCTCAAGGAGAAGTACTAAAGAAATGCATTGAACCTGAACATCACCTCACATTTACTTATGAAGATGGAAAATCGAGTGGAAATTATTTGACTCATAGGACGATTCCTGTTACTGGTGCTACAGGCTTAGTTCTTGCTACCGAAACGTTCAGTGTTTTACAAGAATATAACAGTTTGGAAAGTATACAAGCTGTTCTTCTTGATAATACAGCTACCAATACTGGACCAATAAGTGGCTTAGTGGTAAAACTAGAAGAGCTTTTAAAAAGAAAACTACACCTAATTGGATGCGCATTACATCAAAACGAACTTCCGTTACGAGCTCTTTTTATAAAACTTGATGGTGACACAACTGGGCCAAGAAGCTTCAGTGGTCTACTTGGCAAAAGATGTGCTGAAAATATTCAGGATAGAAATCAAGTTTTGTTTGAACGTATTGAAAACCCAATAGTAGATGGATATATTCCAGAAGAAATATTAATAGACCTTAGTTGCGATCAAAGACTTTTGTTTGAATATTGCAAAGGAATAGGCTTTGGTAAAGTTTCTGATAAATGGGCTGCCTATAAAATTGGACCGCTTAACCATGCAAGGTGGTTAACTCTAGCTATTCGCCTTCTCTGTTTATATACTAGAGACAATCAACCAACCGTTTCTTTAAAAAAACTTGTATACTTTATTGTTCAAGTTTATGCTCCAGCATGGTTCGAAATAAAAAAATCTTCAAAATTCCACGAATCCCCGCGCCTTATTTTTTCTACTATTACTAGAATAAATAATCTCCCCTTTGATGATGTTAAACTTATTGTTAAAAAAAACATCAAAAAAAATGCATTGTGCCTAAAACCTGAAAATATTCTTTATGCCATGCTAAAAGATAATGACAAAAAGATACGAAACTTTGGTTTTCAAATCCTACTGGCTCTAAGGCAAAGGTATTTTTTATAGTTAACTAAAATAAAGTTTTGAAAAAATTTATATTAAATGTGGTAATTGACTTCGGTTTATACTAATAGAGTAAACAACGAAATTTTGAAAGTAAATTTGATGAAAATTCCGGAAATTAATTTTAATGCTAATCATTGGTATGAGTTGGTTGACATCAGCATTACAAAAGTTACGGAGCCCCCTACAACACAACATTTTTCAATTGAGCAAATCCAATATATGATTGACAATAACGTTAAACCTGAAATTTCCGACTTTCCATCTCACTCCCAGAGTGTTGAGCGAGCGGTAAAACTAGTATCGGAAGCATCCCAATATGTTTATGGGCTCGAGAATCGACACAGTTGCATTTTAACCAAATTACTAAGCAGGAAGATGCGTAAACCATATATTTCAAAAGGACATTATTCCCATTCTTATGATGATATTTTTTAATTGAAAATATTTTTCTAAAAATATATATTCCTGTTCAAAATGTTTTAAATTGTGAAATTATTGTTTATTGTAATATTCTTATGTAAATATAAGGATAAAAGATTCACTGATAAAGTCTTTAAACAATTAACAAGTTGTTATAAATTTAACTTAATTGTTATAAATTATTATAAATTTAAATCATTTAGCAATGCAAATAATATTAAAAACATTTTTAAAATGAACATATTTAAAACGTTAGTTTTCTCGTATAACGTTTTTTAAGGTGTTTTTTTGCGTAATCCTTCAAATCTTAAAAATTAAATCCGCAAGCGAATCTTCATCAAAAATCTTTCAAACTTTGAGGGTAATCATATTTCAACTGTCTCCAACTACTGCAGTATTACGCAATATGCGGAAGTAAAATCGACCTACCCTAATATATATATACACAAAAACCTCCTGGTTGTTTGGACTAGCACTTATTTGAATTTCATGCTTATCAAAAGCAATTTTCATTTTCTGTGAATTTTCCTTAACTCTTTCGCACTGAAACAATACTAGACGTCTAATATTACTAAAGGGTCGTATGACCCTGTAGTAATAAATCATTAATTAAAGGTTTTTTTAGCAAAGCTATTAATCAAAATTACTTGATTTTAGGCTTTAAAGACTCAGCTTCAAAATTAGCCGTAATAAACTTTTAAAGCTCCGTAATAGAAATTAAGGGTCCATTATGTCACACTTTAGGGATAGGGGAGGGAGAGCAGGGAAGGAGCGAGGATGTATGTAACATAACATTTTTACACATAACATTAAATAACAGGTTCATGAGATTTTATAATTGAAATTGTCTTTTAAAAACCTTTATGTTAATCCACCTTTATACACTTTTCTCTGTCAAAGAAAAGTGAAATCATTTTTGACATAAAACTGTCCTTACCTACACAAACAAAAAAAATTTAACATAAAAGTTTGTACTTACCAATTCGAACAATTGAAAATGATGACTCTCTTTTGATTATCAAATTATCATTGTTAGAATTGAGTCTTATTAGAAGTTGTAAATAATCTAAGTTGTTTAAAAAAACTCCTCCACGAACCATTGATGTTGTGGATGATTTTAAAGATAGTATTTTTTGATCATACAAAACTGTGTCAACTTTATTAAGAACAACAACCATTTCCAAAATATTTTCATATAGAGCTTTATCGAATATTATATTTGCTGTAATATTATATTTGCTGTACGAATATTATATTTGCTGAATATTATATCGAATATTATACTTGCTGTACCCCTGGAGGGGGTATCTGAGCTTGAAAAGGATCTCACTTCTGCTACAGCATGGGGCTCACAGTGGCTGGTGAACTTTAATTCAGATAAAACTCAATTTTATTCGGCCAATCGTTATCGTAATAATTTAGATCTTCCTATATTTATGAATGGTAATGTACTAGATGAGTCATCTACCATTCATCTTCTAGGATTAACTCTTACTTCTGATCTTTCTTTTAAACCGTATATCAAATCCATTGCAAAATTAGCATCTGCTAAGATTGTATCTCTTTATCGAGCTCGACACTTTCTTACTTTAGATTCTATTCTCTATCTCTATAAATCTCAAATCCGTCCCTGTATGGAATACTGTCACCACATCTGGGGCGGATCTTCTAATGATGCCCTTTCTCTTTTAGACAAGGTGCAAAAACGCATTGTAAACATAGTTGGACCTGCTCTGGCAGCCAATCTCCAACCTTTGTCACATCGTCGTGATGTTGCTTCTCTTTCTCTTTTCTACAAATACTATAATGGGCACTGCTCTAAAGAGCTAGCGTCTCTTGTGCCATCTACTAAAATTCATTCTCGTGTTACTCGTCATTCAATTAAGTCTCATCCTTTTTCTGTGACTGTTCCTAAGTGCTTCAAAAACTCTTATTCTTCTAGTTTTTTTCCTCGAACATCAGCTCTTTGGAATTCGCTTCCTTCATCTTGCTTCCCTGATTCATATAATTTGCAATCATTCAAGTCATCAGTCAATCGTTAACTTGCTCTACAGATTTAGTCTTTTCTCTTCCAGTAACTTCCAACTCTTATAGTGGTTGCTTGCAGCCTTGTTGGAAGTGAAGATGTTAAAAAAAAAATAAATAAAAAAAAAAATAAAGTAAAATCCAGATTTTTCAACAATATAATCTTGTCTAGAAAGAAATCCCTGACCATATTCAAATAATCAAGAACTTCCATTTGTAATCCAGCCACTAATGGGATACCATTTGCTTTGATTGTAAAAATTACTATTAATTCTAGACTGCACTGCAGAAAATCCATAAGTATCATCGCCAATGAATGTTAACGAAGTTGATGATGGCTTACCAATAGAATACGAATTATCAGTCAAAGTATTAATTTTTAATGAGTACACATCTCCAACATTTAAAGAAACCACAGTAGTAGATGATAGACTAAATGGTAACAATCCTTCATTGTAGTACTCAAAAAGGTTAATTAAAGATGTACCCAAATTTAGTTTAATACTGATAAAGTCATAAACATTTATAAGATCCATATAAAATGCAGCTAAATATACACCACCTTTAGAAATAATATATTCATTCACTTGGTTAAAGTTTGTGTAATTTATTGACTCTACAGCAGACCATCCCACTATTTTTTGATCTCCTGAAGAACTTATCAGTATTTTAGATGATAACTGACATGAGAAAACGTCTAAAGATCTCAGAGGGTTAATAAGCTTTAGACTAAACACACTTAACTCGGATACATATGTTGTCAATGCATTAGATTGGACAAAAATTGCAACAGTGTGACCAACTAAAAGTTGCACTGCTTGTGTTATTGAAATAGTACAAATACCAGAACATACAGGATATAAATATGAAGGACCAATACCAGATTTAACCACTGAAAAATCACTTAAGTCTACATTGATACCAATCTTTATTCTTAAAGAAAAAAAATTTTATTAGAAAGTTATTTTAAATCTATAATGCATCATTATTTTATTTATAAAAACAGTAGTCGTGGTAATTACTCCTTGACCTCAAAAATCCAAATTTTCATCCAACAGTCAAAAAAATGGAAGCAAAGAAATATCTATACTCCTAGAAAATTTTAACATCTCAAAGACAATAGAACTGACAGGTTTGCCTAATCATAGAATTCTTAAAGTTACCTCACATTTATTTATCAAGTCTTTTTTATTCAACACTCCAATCTCTCTTTTTTTATATTATATTAATTCTTACATTAATCATCACACTTTTATTTATCTCTCTTATCTCTCTTTTCTTTATGTCTTATATTAATCATCTTATTTTTATTTATCTCTCTTTTCTTTATATCTTTTTATTCATCTTTTTATTCATCTTTCATAGTTCTTAATATTTCGATTCATCAACAGAAATCTGTTAAACAAAATAATAAAAATAATTAAAAAAAAAAATTCAAACTTGACTTTCGTTTGTTTTAATAACTAAAGTACTTGATATTAAATACACTACATCTAAAAAAACAGTATATACTCCATCCCTTTGGTTAAGACCTTCTCCATCAACACCAAGAACAGTAGACATTATAACATTCCAATTTCTTAGTTTTGTATAATACCTAAAAAATAATAATTTCTTTTAAAATACAACAACAACAACAGGGATTAGTTAAGTTATATGCTAAGTAATACTGAGTATAAATTGATTACTGAGTAAAAATTGAATTATTTACAAAAACTTCTAATAATTTTATTATTTTATGAAAACATATTACAGTTTAAAAGATTATTGGCTTTTGCATGCTTAGAGTATAATGTAACCTTATCAAGCTATTCTTATGCAGGGACAGTGTTGAAAATTTATTAACATAAAATCTAATAAATTCTAACAAAACTTAGAATTTAATTAAATTAACTTAAAACATTTAAAATTAACAACAGATAATATAGATTTTATAAAAAACAAATTTTTTAAAACAATTTATAACATTATGTGTATTATATATAACCATATAAATTTATAAATTAATAACAGTAAAATAAAAAACTTTTTTACCCAGGTTTTATAAATGGAAGAAAATCAATAGGTTTGCCTGTTCCAACAGACGAAATTGGCAAATAAGGTGGTATTCTGAAAAATGACCAGCCACTGTAAGAGCGGATATTTTCCCATTGTGCATTTGAAGCTGAGGGTTTAACCTAAAGTTCAAAATAAAACAATTAGGTAACATCAAAATTAAACAATTAGATAATATGTAAAAAAAAATTCAAAACATGTTTAATTTATTTAAAAAGTGAATAAACACAAGTCATAAAAAGTTTGATATTTAAATATTTAAAAAAAACTTATTTTTGTCAAGTTATTAATTTTATTAAAAATGAATGAATAAACCAGAAATAATAAAATAACTAAAAAGAATTTAAGAATACCCTAATTGATAGCTCCTGACCTTTATACAGGTATAAAGCACCGTAAATCTTCATTGTGTATTGAGGATGATCTTTATCACTAAATCTTGTTATTAGTGATGTGACAGACGTTAATGTTGTGAAAACAGCTATTAAAATTTTTAATTTAATTATTTATTACCATTATAAAAATTTTTAAAGTAGAAGAAATAAACTTTATACCATTATAAAAAATTTTTGAAAGTAGTATTACCAATTTTTATATTACTAATTTTTAATAGTTTTAGTTGATAAATCGTTGGTAATTTTAAAAACTACAGATTTATATTAAATTTGAAAAAATTAAAAAAACAAAACCTTTTTGATAATTATTCAAATCAGGAGCAATAGCAAGATTTACAAAAATATAATAAATTCCTGTCTCTTGAACTGTTACTGTACCCATGACTGAATCTAGTTTTAGAAGATTTCCTAAAAACAAAATATTTAGTTTTTATTTACTAAACACAAAATATTTAAATTTTTTTAAAAATGAATTAAAAAAACTATAATAATAAATTAAAATTAAAATAATAATTTTTTAACTCTTTCATTTAAAAAAATTTAAAAAAGAAAAAGAAAACTTACCACTGCTGAAAACACCAGTTGCAGTCCTCACCCAGTTGCTCTGCCAATATTTAACTTTAGACCAATCAGAAGCGCTCTGCTGTTGATCAAGTGTTGGATCTAGCATTAACTGCATTCCAGATGAATATAAATCATTGGTAGAGCTAATGAAAACGATTGACTTAAAGCTGTCTTGACTTATTTTTTAAGATGGATCAGCAACAGATTGAATATAAAGTGCAATGCTGTCACCTGCATTAACTAATACCAAACCAGACACAACCCTTGAGTAAAAATCACTATTTAAAAGACCAAAAAAAGTATAGTATACAAACTAAATAATAAAGCATTATAATTTACTAAAAACTAATATAGAAGACATTGGAACTTACTAAAAACTAAGTAGTAAGACATTATTTACTAAAAACTGATAAAATAAAATTATTAGTACCTATTAGTAACAAGTACATAAAAATTTTATAATTTTAACTTTGCTTTTTCAAAATATTTTAACAATAAATAAAACAAAACCACAAGAAAGGTATTTACTTTGTAGTAGGTGCAACATTACCATTTTGAAGATAGTCTTGAATTCAATTTTGGTATTGTAAAGTAGATGGATTTCCACTAACAGCAACATTTAAAGTAAAGGTAGAACCAACTGCACTTGCCTGAACCATTTTTATTCCAGCACTCACAATGTAAAAACCTGCTTTAGGAGCAACAAAACTGAAAAAGAAATAAAGATACAAGTATAATTAATCTAAAAACAAAAGTAAAAAAAAAAAGTACATTTTCAGATTAATTCCTACCCCAAAATCAAAAAATGGACCTGCTGCAGTTTGAGATTTTCATTTTCCAATCTTAAACCAACCAGATGTAGTGTAAGCTAAACTATTTGTGAGAACTGTTGTGACACCAAAAATATTTGTCTGATACCCAAGAAACACCATTGAAAAAGTTGAATCAATATCTATGGACCAGCTATTATCATTTTCAATCATAACATAAACATTAACATAAGAATCTAAAGAAAATATCAGCATTAATCTAATGAATATCTGGCAGCTGATGTCAGTATTAACTCAATTGCACCAGACAATAACAACTAAATAATGTCACACAATCAGATTTATTAATAAATATTTCTCAATAAATAATGCATTTAACAAAAACTGGAAAGCTAATATTATAAACTAAAAAATAAAACAAACAATGAATAAATAAATATACCTTTTTAATAAATAAGGCTCCAGACACACTAAGAATGTCTTGAATTACTGATGGTTTTCCTTTTGTTGCATACAAAGCAGTTTATTTTGATAACTGATTATAGACAGCTATAATAATATAATTTGGTCTATTGCTGTCTTTAAAAATAACATTAGCAGACAAATAGATCCCTGTTGCCATAGCAGTATACTTACCAGAAACTAATTTTTCAGTAAAAACAAATGAGTCACTCTTCTGACTTTCAGAACATGTATCAATAACTACCCAACCTATACTCTTTGTTTGATAAACCTTTTGATAAAAATACTTGAAGTTAAACTAATTTAAAATACATATAATAGTATATTCAACATATGTATATATATATATATATATATATATATATATATATATATATATATATATATATATATATATATATATATATATATATATATATATATATATATATATATATATATATATATATATATTTAAATATGATAAAATTAGTGCTAAAAAATTTTTTTTTTTTTTTTTTTTGAAAATTCTAAGGGTACCTTCAGGGGGCAAAAGGAGCAACTTTAAAATTGCTTTGTACTATTTTTAAAACTGTTTGGAGGAAGTCTTGACATTAAAGTTTTTGATTTTTTTTTTATATTTATGTTTGTGAAGACTTAATCTAATTAAAATGGGATCTACTCTCAAAAAATAAATTAAAAACTCAAAATTTGTTTTAAAAACCCTAAATCCATAAATATTAAATAAAAATATTTTTACACTCTACGTTTTTTAAAGATTTTATAAATAAAGTTTTAAAGTTTTTAGTAATTAAAATGTTTTTTTGAAATATATTTTATATTAATTTTTTTTTAGATTATATACTTAAGTAATTATCATAATGCCACCAAAAAAAAAGTTAGAAGTATTAGATTGGATAAAATATTTTTAATTAAAAAGTTAATCGAACAACTTCCAGCAAAAAACATTTGACACTGCTATAGAAATGATTAAATATTATCTCGTTCTATGAAAATCAAAGTGTGAAGAAAAAGTAAAGTTCTTAGCAAGTTGTCCTAACAAAAGTTCTTCTTTTATACCCAATCGTCCAGTTGATCAGCCCAACTGCTGTATACTGTCCAAACAAAGGGTACCTTGAATACTTGGTGGATTTAAAGTGCTAACAATACAAAAGTTAAAGTAATATTTTCAATAAATTCTAAATTATTTGAATCTGTGTTTATTACATAAAGATGCTGTTAAATAATATTTTTACAGGATTATAATTTAGAAACTGTTGAAGGAGTGGATAAAATTAAAAGATCAAAAAACAAATCCTACTGTAATTAAAAAAAGACATTTGTTTGAAGAGAAAATGAAAAAGACAATTTGGATTGGAGAACATCCTTATGTCATGTTTGAAGAAATATTAAAATATAAAATGAGAAAAGTGAAAGACAAAGAGAAAGAGAAAGATATTGCTTTCATAAAAGATCAGCTTAGTGAAAGAAAAGAATGTCTTGGAGATAGAGATAAAAGATATGAGTATTCTGTAGTAAGAAGTAAAAGATGCACATCAAAGTTAAATAGAAATGCGTCAGCAGAATTATATAAGAATAATTTAGATTATCAAAGTTCTACTAGTTACACCAGCATCAAATTAGACAAGGAAACAGATGTTGACTTCGATTTTAATACGCATTCTAATATTCAAAATTCTGTTCTTCTTCCTAAAAATATTCTTCAGTCATCTGCTCATACAGCAATGGGAGAAGGTATAACACCCCACTAACATACAGCATTGATAACAAGTGTTATTGTCATGGCTTGTGCTTCTGTAGCAAACTTTAATTGTTCTAAACCCATATCTTAAAAAGCTGCAGAGAAAATAATATCTGTCAGAGTTAGAGAAATCCATAACAAAACTTCTGGTCCAGTAAACAAACTATTTGATGTTTTAAAACAAAACTGTAAGAAAAACTGGAATTTCGATACTTAGTATTGAAATAAAAAAAGTTATATTTTTATCGATGCTGAAACTAAGGAACTGAAAAGAATAATAATACCGCCTGGAATATGGATATATAATCAAAAAGTTAAGTTAGATCAAGACCTAATAAATAGAGCATACTCTGAAAAAAAAATACCAATAGTTACAAGAAAAACAAAAACAGAAAGAATAAAATGGATTACGAAAAAGCCGCTAGTACAAATATAAATAAAGTCTAGTTTCTTATGTACATTTTTTTATTAATATCACTTCTTTAAGAAAGAATAAAAAAATTCATATACTTACTGTATTTACTGTATTTTAATTTAAATAAAACTTTACTATTGAATTGAAATTTTTTATAATTTAAATAATTTTTTTTTTTAGTTTCTTCTTTCCCTGTCCAGGCCCTCTCTTTTATATATTTCCCAGAACAGTTCCTAAAGCTGATTATAAGTAAGAAATCAAATTGTATCAAATATAAACAAAAAAATAATGTACTTTTATGTGTTTCAAGAAAATTTTAAGAATATTTTGTATCCTTATGAGCTTTCCTAAATATTTATGTATTTTAGGGTTTTTTGAAACAATTTTTTTATTTTTTGTTAAGATTTGAGCATTTTATTTAGATTAAATAAATCTTAACAAGCATAAATATAAAAAATAAAATGAAAAATTTTAATGTCAAGACTTCAAACAGTTTTAAAAATGGTACAAAATGCCCTAAAAATTGCCCCTTTTACCCCCTGAAGTCACCCTTACGATTTTCAAAAATAAAAAAATTAAAAATTTTTTTAGTACTAAATCATGGTTTGGGCAGATGATATGCTCGGGCTCCTTTTTTTTTGGAGACATGACCTTTTTTTGAAACACTCTAATATATAAACATCCTTTGGAATTAAGTTGGCATTTGACAATGCAAACCAAACTTCCAACCTAAAAGTGTTTGAGGTCAGCAAAATATTGCTAACATAGTTTCAATGTTTTATGGATAGACTTTTGTATCAAATTTTTTTTGTGAACCTAATACCAACCTCGTAAAGATTGAAGGCAATCTCATTTTTCCTACTTCTGAGGGTTTTAAAAAAAAAAAAGAATTAAAAAGAGCGCCAATGGAAATGCACATATTTTTAATTAATTGGAGTTACTGATAAATATAAAACTGTTACACTCTAAATTATATTGACAAAATAAAAAAGTTATTTAACTAATAAAATATATAATTAATTTAGATTATTGCATATTATTTTTTATTTTAGGTTATGAATTTTATATTTAATACATTATTTACTTTAATATATTACTTACTATCTGATGTTTTCTTTCCAAAGAACAAACATTAGTTTGAGGAAAAAAACTAAAGGAATAACAGTTTTTGGAGCACTTAAGAAGGGTCACAGAAAAAGAACGAGACTTAATTGAATGACGAGTAACAAGAGACTGATTTTTATTAGATGGCACTTGGGACACTAGCTCTTTAGAGCAGTGCCCATTATAGTATTTGTAGAAAAGAGAAAAAAAAGCAACATCACGATAATGTGACAATAGTTGGAGATTGGCTGCAAGAGCAGGTTTTATTTATGTTTACAAGGCATTTTTGCCCCTTGTCTAAAAGAGAAAGGTTATCATTAGAAGATCCACCCCAGATATGGCAGTATTCCATAGAGGGACGGATGGGAGATTTATAGAGATAGAGAATAAAATCTGGATTAAGAAAGTGCCAACCTTAGCAGATGCTAATTTTGCAATGGATTTGATATATGGTTTCCAAGAAAGATCAGAAGTACTCTTACTTCTGATTTTCCTGCCAGCCTGACTCCATGAACTTATTTAAGAAGCACATTTGTCAGCAGGAATGCAAAAGATCTACCCAAGGGCCATCACAAAGAAAATCACAAAAAGAGTGGGACTCTTTCCGCCAGCTTTAAAGTAGTTGTATGTAGTACAAAGATATGGGGATTCTGATGAAGAAGAAGAATTAGATATTAGTTTGAGAGAGATCAAACCGTGATCTGAAGCATCTAAGGTGAATGTTGAGAAAATGAGCACTGACTGGGATCAGAAACAAGAC